ACGCAGGCTAAGGTGTCAGAAACACAACTGGAAATAGCTTAAGCAAGGAGGAATCCATTTCAAGGACACTGTGGTGTCTCATAAAACCCCAGGACCAGAAAGCAGTTAGGCCTCAGGGACAAACAGAATCAGGAACTCAAATGCAGTCATCACATTCTTCACCTTTTCTGGTTCACAAAATTACTGAAAACTCCTAGTTTTTGCATTTCCCAGTGACATTCAAGGATTGCCTGACCTTTCTTTTTAAATTACACTTCCAAAATTTCTGGGAAAGGACAGTTGTCCAATTTAAAATAAATGAAATGTGGCCAGGGCTGGGGGGACAGGGGATGGTCTCACTCTAATAACAGAAATTTCCATGGTTACTGGGCAAATGGTGTGGTGAGGATAGGGAAAATTTCCAAAAAAAGCAGTTTACTGGGCAAATCTGGCAGATGCTCTCTTTGTTGTTCCTGACTGCATGTAGTTGGAAGACCAAATATCTCAGATCAGCATACAACGACTTTCAGAATCTCCCTTTAATCTGTTTTTCCTACTTCTTCTTCTGTCAACCCTGTATCTTTCCCTGTACATTGAATTTAGCAGCAGTAAGCTACTTTCTCTTCCTAGAACCCACTGTGTTCTTTTATGACTGTAAATCTTTGTACTTGTTTTTTTCTTTGTCTGGAATACCTTTTCCCCACTAGTCTGCCAGGTATAATAACTTCAACTCATCTTTTAGGTCCAGCTCTGTGTTACTTATGGAAACATTCTTGACTTCCAAAGCAGACTTCATTGCTCTCTGTGTGTTTCACTTTGCTTGCACTATTTTAGAGCCCCTATCACATTGGACTGTAGTTGCTGTCTAATCTGTCTCTTTTTTTGTAGCAATTTGGATATTTTAAAGGCAAGATTATGTTTTGGTCTTATTTGTCTCAGTGATGGCCTGCCTTTGGCTGGTACATAGCAGAGGTTCAGTAAAATTCTCACTAGTCCTGTTATTATTTTTCTTTTTTTCTCCCAGACCTCACTTATTGCAGCAACCTAGCTCCCTGGACTATTTGCAAACTGAGAAAATACAGCTTGATTCATTTTTATCTTGCTGTTTGCCATCTTTCTTTTAAATCAAACTTTGACTCTGGGTCGGATGTGGTGGCTCATGCCTGTAGTCCCAGCATTTCGGGAGGCCGAGGTGGGAGGATCACTTGAGGCCAGGAGTTCGAGACCA